AAGATGCAAGATGTGGCAGAACTTCACTGCCTTTTTCGAAATAGCTGTATAGTCTTGAGAACATGATTTCCTACAGCTTACTCAAAATTAACTAAGAGCTCTTTCTCATATATTTCTTTTGCATGATTATTTTTGCGCTTTGAAACGTTTATGTGTTTGTTTGTCACGCCACCATCGCCATTTATTATATTTTGGCCACACAATACTACAGTAACGTAATCATTTCTTTATTCTAATCTTCATTTTTTTCAATCCTTGCACAATTCACTGTGAATATCGATACGTGAGCGACTCAGCAATGGCCAAATTGTCACGCAATCTTCTCAATCTTTTTCAGTATTGGTCGGTTCTTGTATAGGAGTGTTTTTCCTCTCGATTTTGAGCGAATGTGTTCGCTCCATGAGGATAAGACTGTACATGTCCAGCAATAAACAAAGCGTGAAAATAACGCCACAGTCTCCTGCAGGAAGCGAAGTGAACTCCAGAAAAAACGTAGCTTCCAACGAGTCTCTGAACTTTGGAAGTACGGAGACGTTACAGCCTGCTCAACGAGGGAAGACAGAAAGGAAACAAGAACAGTACGTATAAAAATGAATAACAATAAAAGAAAGAAAAAACTTCCCTTCCCTTCCCATTTTCCCTTCCTCTTCCCATATTTTTCTTTCCTCTCCTTAGTTCTTCACACCTTTCCTTTTAAAACGAGAGCAAAAAAAAAAAAAAAAAAAAGAAAAAAAAAAATTAAAGAGGAAGCCTGCATGCTAGAAGGTGCAAGCAAAGGAATGAGGATCGATGGAAAGAGCTAAAAAAGAGACTTGGTCGAAGAATAGATTGAAATTTCGAAGTTAGGCGGAGCTAGAGCAAAGCTTAAGGAACAAGAGATTTATTACAGAAGGAAAAAAAGATGAAATGAAAGTGAAGATAAAGGAGAGTCGAATTCAAGAGATAAAATCTGATTAGTGCGTGTATTTGTTTGAGCAAACCGTCAATATTATTATTCTATTTGCAGTCCCTTTACTATACGACACGTGATTCAAGTCCTCCTTCACGTCGTTCAGCTAGTCTTGGGTTACCTGTTGATGCTCATTGTCATGACCTTCAACGTCTGGCTTGGGATAGCTGTGGTGCTCGGGCTAGGGACTGGGTATTTTATGTGTAACCGTTCTGTTCTATCAGTCTTGACTACTAATGTTTCAATCCCCATGAAAATCGTTCAATAATCACACGCCAAAACATTTAGTTATTATTGGTATTTATTTGGGTCGAAACAACGACTTAGATAGTTAATTTGCACGTATCAATTAAACGACAGTTGTATGACTGTAAAAATAATATTGTATTTATATTAAATAATAGGTGAGTCTTTTATATTTTCGTTTTCACCAGATTTGAGTAAAAATCAAAATGTGATGCAATACACCCATACATAATGCTCGACTAAACACCATTTCGTCGAGCATGCGCAGTAATAATTACATAATTCCGGTGACGTCAAATATTATACTTCTCTGTTTTCGAGTGTTCGCTGGCAAGCGCAACAACACTAAGCTTTTCAACTCGGCTTATTCCTTTGAAATTCAGTCTTGGACGACGGAGGTAAGCGAAGAAAAAGAAAGAAAAGGAAAGGAGTGAAAATAACTGAAAAGAAAAAGAAAGGACGGATGGATGGATGGATTTACGGGCAAGAAAAGGAGCCATAGAGGGAAGTAGAAAACTGGGATGGAAAGAGTGAAAGAAATAAGTGAAAGAAGGTGGTCGGGGATTCGCCTGCTCGCAATTTCTAATCAATTACGTGCGAAAATTAGTGTAATTTAATTAAGGTAGAACATTTGAAATATTTCATTTTTGAAACTTTTTTTAGTCGTGACTTGTTCATTGAAATACGTGATTTACATACAAAGTTTTCTACCTTTTCTTCAGGTATTTAATACGAAACCATAAAACTTCAAAAAAACGAAAAACACATTGTATATAGAATTTAGCAATGCATCGAGAACATGGTGCATCATGGTTTGATCGTGGATCCATTCATGTAGGGTTAGTCTAGAGTCCAAATGTTAACTTACAATAAATTCACAGATTTCAATTTTAGATTTTAATTCATTCATATTTGAATAACGTAAATTATCAAGGGGGAAACTGATGTAAAATACCATAAGTAACTTATGATAATAAACAGCGGTTACAGTTTTATTTGTCTCATTGAGTGTCTGTGTGTTGTGCACATACCCCCCGCATTAATGCAGTTTGAAAATGGTGAAATTAAATAGTTTTGGGCTTCCCGTGGTGAAATTGAGAGTAGGACCGGAAACTACCTATCCCACAAAGCCATTATCGACAAGAAGTCTAAACACCTATGCCGAGAAGTGTCGTGTGTCATAGTGATTGTAGTGTAAGGAATATCATTTGTTATTATATTAGATATACTAAATAATAAATCATTAGATGGGATCAATGTATATCACCACTTGAATTCTTCCTCGAGGGAGGACACGACAATCAGATCTTTGTTAAGCCTAGAATAGAATTCAATGACGTGTGAATAAAAGTACAAAAACCTTAAAACCGATGTGAAAGAGAGGTCCAAGGGATGGTCACAAAGCGGGACTGGACGGTTAGACCCCCAGGTCACAAAGCGGGACTGGACGGTTAGACCCCCAGGTCACAACGCGGGACTGGACGGTTAGACCCCCAGGTCACAACGCGG